TGCGGGTGGTCTCTGAAAAAAAGACATTTAGACTCTGATTCTGATCTGCATGGGCATCCCTCTGCCCTTATAAGATCCAAGTGCCTCCCTCATGTCCCAGCCAACAGTTTCTTCAGTCTCCACTGTGAAGTGAGTGCTGTGCCTCTTTTCCACTTGACTGCTGCCTTCTGCCTTGGAGATGGCTTTGTTCCAGAAGTGAAATAATTCCTGGTAGTATCACACTGAAAGTACAATTTGGAACCCTTTGATTTAAGGATGTTGTAAGACATCAGTATGACTGTAGCTAGTTTTCTCTATCCAGATTTCAATGGTCAAATGCATGCAGCAATTCAGTAGTATAGAACCTTAGAGACTAAAAATAAACCTGAGTATTTTTATTTAAAAACTTATTAATGTAATAGGAGGGTATGTGAGCAGTTTGACCAAAAAAAAAAAAACAAAAAAAACCCCTACAACAACAAAACTCTGCTCGTTTAAGGGAAGAAAACAAACAGAGCTTCTTCCTGAGAACATCAAATGCTAGGGTTTATATATTTTAAAGCAAAGGCAGATGAGTAGCAGCTATGGCCCACTGTGGTGACAGAAGCTAACCTATGTAACAGTTCTGTCATCCCAGGACTATCATTGGAAAGAAATGAGCTCTGAGGCATGATTTTTTTTTTTCCTAAAACTGTGTCTTATGTGCTGTTTTGATTACATATCCTCTGCTTATGCTTAAGTAACTCTTGTTAACATATCTCTCAGCAAAAATTGAATATGGTGTGTTTTCCCAATCTTTAAGGAAAGGAAATATTCTCTGGTATATTAGGGAGACAAGACAAAGAAAAATGTGATAGAAGGAACTAAATGAATGTGACAGAAAAATTATAATGGAAATTTTTTGCAATTTTTTAATTCTGAGCAACTTACAGAGATATCGATTTATTTTGGAGGGAGTGAATAATAATACATTTTTATTAGCTTTATGTAATTTACAAAAATGCACACATTGACAGTTTAGATGTAAAGTGTATAGACTATTTTTATCATAATGAAGATATCAAAAACCTTCCCAAAAATGTTAAATGTTAGTGCTTTCATATTGCAAACAAACTTAAGCAAGAAAATGGTATAATATATTCATATCTAGTTCTTTAGCAGTGCAAACAGAAAGTTGGTCTAACTTTTTTGTCTTTTTTTTTTTAATCACTGATACCAAGAAGTCTTCCCAGCCTTAAAAAGGAAATGAAATATTTGGAGATATTTTGCATTCCTGGTTAATGGTAACTCTACCATGTTTTTTTTTTTAAACAAAAAATAGAAAGCATGCATTTCTTGTTCAAGTTTAGCTCAGAGAAGTGAGAGACTATTATGGATGCAGAAATGTAATAAGGATATTGAGGGTCTCTGATCCTGGTCAACAGCAAACTATTTGCTTAGAAATGCCACAAGTATGCACACTCCCACCCAAACACCCATATTGCTCTATATAGAATTTTAGTACAATGCATAAAAATGAGTTTATTTTTGCCCTCATTCTGTGGGGGCTCTGATGCTGCTATTGCTGTTGACCCTAAGCACCAAAGTACTATCTTAGTGACCCATCACAGACTGTTGTATTTAGGCCTTTTAATATAGTCCCTCTGTATTAAAAACAGCTATTTTTGAATTCTAATAAATGTATGTGTGCATGTTTTCAGGCTAATTCTTACATAATAATGTATAACTGTATATGTGGGTGTAGAAAGTCCATGCCATCTGTGACGCACCACTAGAGGGGCGTCTGGGATTCTTTTGAATTCTGGGATTAGTTGCACTGAACTTGAGAGATCATCATTTGTCAGATATAAGAATTTATTAGAGCTAAGCAGTTCTACACGTATGACAGACACTGGACAACACTAAACAATTAACACCAGACAATCTGCAAGTATAACAAAGCTAAGAAGTATAGTAAAGAACTAAAAACAGAATACACCTATCAGAGCTCTATGGTTAAGCCATGGATGCACGGTGCAATGACTGTTCTCAGATGCACGGTATAATGACTGCTCTCGCCCTTTCCTTGTCCTTATGGGCCACCCCTCTGGTATAGTTTTCCCCGGACTGTTCTCACCACGCTCGAGCTGCACCAAGATGATTCAGGTTCTCCCTGGCAGTTGGCATCAGGGGCGTCCCCGCTGATGGGTGGGTTGTCGGGTCCGCAGGCCAGCTGACGGTGAGTCCGAGTCCACACCAGAGGTATGTGGCTTACTTCCTTTTATCCTTCCTGGGCTTAGCTCATTATCCAATCGATCAATGCCAGACCACAGCTACACGATAGAACAGATGGCCTCAGTCGATAACAGTACGTATACCAGCAGATATCAGTACGCGTGGTCGACAGATAACCCAGTGCAAAGTTCCCCAGTACCTAGATGCTTATGATGTGAGTCTGCGGTGTCACTTCCCCTTTGCTGACTAGGCTTGCTCAGCCCTCATGGGGTCACTGGAGGGCTACAGCAACCCCACAGCGTGGTGGCTCTGGCCATGGTGCACCCAGCATTCGTTAACTCCTGGGGAGCCCCCCAGAGCAACCCCCTCTTCTATGGACTGCACCATCCTGAGTCCCACGCTTGCCTGTGTGGCGCTTATCACCATCTCACTGCAGGAATCTAACTTGTGCTTTCTTGCACAGCAATTGAGAGAGAAAGAGGCAGGCTGACTGACTTTTTGAATAGGTGCTTTGAGTCAATTCTTGAAGATTTTTGTTTTTCATTCTCTCTTGTGCTCTGAAGTTAGTGGCCTGTGATAGATGGGTCAAGTTGAACAGTACCAGTGCCTAATCCTGTAATACACGAAAGAATTCCTTGCAGAATAGATTTTTCTTCTTGTAAATATCAAAATACTCATAGCATAGTTAATGTTCATGGCATTTGTTTCCATTCATACAATTTGAGAGTCAGAACTGGCACAGTTGGTGAGAAATACTATGATGTATACTAGCTTTCTTCAGTGTCATGTTTCTCACAGTACTGTTTCACCTTTGAAATGCCAAAGGACCCCAAATAATGTATACAATTGTCAAAGAAATTTACAATTTTGGATGTTGTTGCTATGTAGCAAATTACTGTTTATGTGGAAATTGTTAAGGGGTTAGCTCTTGTAGTGTAAAGTTGAATTTAAAAGACAATATGACAAGGCATTGGGGCTCTTCTAGTATCTTCTTGCCCTCTACTGTATTTCCATGATTGCACTCTTTTTATGCCCATCTAAACTTCTAAGATGTGTGACTTCAGAATTTTAGTTCTAATAGCCTGATGTCTGCAAAAGCAGGTCGGGAGCAGTGGGTTAATATGCTTTTCCAGAATCCTTTTTACCTTTACATATCTCGTTATACTTATTTTCAAACTCAGAAACCATCAGTTTACAGGGTCTCTGAGGATCTGTTGACCTTCTGATTTGGCTAACAAGCCATGCCGTGAAATCTCAGGATGTCCTTTCATAGGCAGCTTTTTTCAGCACTTCCTAAAAGTGAACTCAGTTTGGCCTCAGGCTAATGGTCACTCCCTGGGGAATCACAGCCTGATTTTCACACTGGCAAGACATATTAAAAGTTTTAGAATTGGGGACTGCTCATTTGCCCAAGTTCTGTGGGGTGTTTGCGTGGATATACCAAGTGTTTTCTAGTAAGCTGTCATTGCAGATGAAGAATCTTTTTCTGTGTGTCACTGAGGCCTTCAGTTCACTCTGATGGAAGTAATCTCTTCTGGGAACTACCTACACTGTAGCAGTACCAAATTACAGAAGTGGATTAGTAAGCTGTTAATACTGATTACAGGAGAAAAGGCGTTGTGAAAATGAGGCCTTGAAGAGCAAGACTTCTGTAGAAACGTGGAATACTGTAATGTTGTGAAGGGAAATGTTCGCACTGAGTACAAGCTGTTTTTCTCAATGATATAGACTCGTATTTGTGTAACACACAGTAATAGTCTGGGGAAAGGAGGCAGACTTCTCTCGCCCTTCAAATAATACTTTCATTCTTGCTCTAATCTAGAACTTGCTGTAAACTTTCAGATAAGCTACTTGGTAAAGGATTTTGTGGTACACGCACAACTAAATAATTTACTCAGGCAAAATATGTCTTACATCAGCATTATTTGTAAAGCCCGTTTTTATAGGCTACAGTGTAGCTTGAGGTTGGAAACGATCTGCAGCATCGAGGCATATCCTGAAAACTTGCAGTAGCAGTTGGATCTTCCAAAACCCTGCAGCTAGTTGATCTATCTGCCTGAAGCCAGGCTCTCATGCTTTATTTTTCCAGAGGGGTGAGCTGCTGAATGGGATAGCTGCAGCCAGCCAGCTGGTGGGGAAGGGAACTGTGGGCTGTAAGATGTCTCTGTGGATTGGCACTGAATGTGGGGTCCTGGGAGATTGCTCTCTAGGGGAGAAAGCAAAAGAGAAAGCGAGGTCCCTGCAGCTGCACCTCTCCTCTTGCTCTTACAAGTAATGCTGCTATATGGTAGGAGGCAGAAGGCAGCTACAGAGAGCAATTTCTTTTTTTTCTCCTCAGTTCTTCCCTAAGTTGAACAGCTCTGAGAGGAAGGGAACCTGAGAACTCTCTCAGACAGGTTTCCGGTGCTCTGTTGCACTACTGCACCTCAGGGAGGCTTTTTTGCCTCAAAATTTCAGCTAGAATTCTCCACAGATTAAAAAAAGGGAAGGAACACACTAGTTTACGTTACTATAATTAATTTCATAACTAATGAGTATTGTAACAGCTGTTTGTTTCTAATAAGATATTCTCCATCCTATCTCTTAGTGGGTATTGTCACTTCTGCTGTCACTATTTCATTTTTCATGAGAACAATCTTGTCTGGGTTCTAGTTTTTCCTATGGTTGCACTTCACCTCTTTTTCCTGCCACTTAAGTAGCAAGAGAGAGATCCAGAATAGTTGACCAAATGGTTTCACAGTGATAAGTTAAATCTGTTATGAAAAGATGCCATACCTTATCCTAATCTTTTTTTAATAAAATTTCAGATACCTCTTATATCTACAAATAAAAAGGGACATTTTTCATGGTCGTCTGCTGTGCCCTTTTTCTGATGCTGCCTACCTGGGTGCCTGCATTGTCCAAGGTAAGTACAAACAGCAGGATTTTGTGAAATACTTAATAATTCTTAGGAGAGTTCAGTATCAAGAGAAGTTCAAAACTAGGGTGGGGGTAAAACTAGTAATAACTTGCATTTTTTGTTGTTGTACTGTTTCCCTGTATTGACCTGCACTGGAAAATTTTAAAGTAATTCAGCTGTTTAGCCAACTTAAAACAAATTGGAACATTAAAAGATTAAAAACAACCAGTTGTCTTAGCATTTAAGTGAAAAAGTATGACATCAATACTAGATTCAAATTATAGAGAAAGCAAAATTATGTTCTTTTACTTTCCTGAGTATAAACATAGCCCATTCCATTTGGAGTGGCATGCAGTGTCATTTCTTACAGTATAGACCTGTGTGATGATGATGGAACCCCTGGCAAAAATAGTGGGTGCAATTCAAGGTGAAAGAGATCCCCCGTCCACATAATTTCCTGAGGGCCAAATTCAGATATGTAACTTGGATTGCTCACAGAAAAATAATTAGCTCAATGTCTAATTGGGGACTTTGTATGCATGAAACCACGTTCTGTCTTAAGATGAATGAAGCTCTTAATGTATTATAAGGCAGTATGTCCCAAACTAGATTGAGCCTAGAGCTTATTAAAGGAGGCTACTTTAGAAAAATAGACACCAAATGCCATATTTGGGTACCTAAGTGGTATGCTTTTTAGAAGAGGAATCAAATACTGTGGGCAACCTTAAATAATGATGCAAACTGTGTTTCTCTGCTAGAGCTGAATTGAACCAAACCATGTTGGTGGGGATAAGCTGGTATAGAAAAGAGGAGAGCTTGGAATGCGCTGTTTTATTTCTGCCTGGTACCAGGATGACGAGTAGCGAAAGGGGAGGGTTTCCTATACCTGTATTTTTTCAGAGTATGTTTCTGCCACAAAATAGTTTAGAATTGCAAATTACTTCTGCAATTAATAAAACACAAAGTTCACTTGAAACTCATTGGTTGCAGGGGCAGCTATAAGGATTTTGCAGTTTCATTTAACTACCAGTTCATCAAAATAGCTTTCCTTTAGAAATGCTGCATTCTTACTGATCTTGGAAGTCTTCTGAAGTACACTATACTTACCTTTTTTTTATTAACTAACTTTGCAATTTATTTTTTTGTTATCTATTTAGCTGAGCTTGGTGATTATGATCCTGATGAACACCCAGAGAATTACATCAGCAACTTTAAGATTTTTCCCAAGCAGTCACAAAAACTCGAAAAGAAAATAACTGAAATGCATAAAAATGAATTCAGGTAACTTCAAATGCTGCTTGTTAAGAGACAGCTACAAATTATTTTTATCTGTTTGTACATAGTGTATATTAATTGAAGAGGGATTGTTCCTTGGTTTATAATAGGTACTCTACTAGCATGCTGTTTAATAAACTCTATTTGAAAATGCAGTTTCAGCTTAGTGGGTTTTCTATTCCTGTTAACCTTTATAGCTGATTCCCACATATGTGCTGGTAAGTTAGACTGCGTTTGCTTGAAATGTAGGTCTGATTAGTGGGAGTGGCTCACATCATGAGTGCTGCTGTGGTTGATTAATGGAAGGACATTGTTCATTTAGGGATCAGATTTATGTGGAAATATATATTTATATGTCCTTTGCTGTGCAATTTCTGTACTTAGTGCAATGATGTAATTCTTGACAGATACTGTCTTGACTGAAACTATAATGATGTTATTTTATCTGTAGGGTGGTAACACAGTGATGAATTGTACAGAAATATATTTAGGTAACTTCTTTGGAAGACTGAGGTGAGATGGAGAACTCTATCGGCCCTTTTTCTGTCCTAAACTTTTAATATGTGATAAACTGGAATGGGCAAAGATAGACCAAAGATAGGCTAATCTTTTGGTTTCAAAGTTGAATGTGTCCCAGAAGTATGGTGTTTCAGAGGAGAAGTAGCAGTGCTTTGTGCAACCATACCTCCTTCAGGATTGTCAGTGAATAACATGCACAGTATTAGTGAAGATAACTTGATACTCTGGCCATTCTGCTCAGTCAAGTATAGTCCTTGGAGAAGCTGGAGGGAATAGGATGTGGAGAAAATCAAATAAAAGCAGATAATTAATTACATAAGGTAGAAGGAGAATCTGTTATTCAAAGATTTACAAGGTTCCTTGCACTTGCTGAAAACACTCATGTTTGGTTTTTCTTATTGCTAAATACATAAATGCTTTACTTAAGTAAATGAATGCTATTCATAAGAAAATATGATTTTATGTGAGTCACCAACCCCCTGAAAAAATATTGAAATGGGCAATTACTTTCAGAGGAGTTAAATGATTAAAGCATAATACAGAGGTTGATGGAAAAGTCTATCAAATATTTTGTTAAACCAGGAATGTAACTCTTATGACAGTGTGAAAAGGGAGCTCTTCACCACCACAAGTGTAGCTGGTATGTTAAGTTTATCTTATTTCTTTAAAAAAAAAGAAAAGACTTTTGGACCCCATAGGAAAGTAAACGCATCTTCCCTTTTTCCCTCCTAAAACCTATGTATTTTGTTTATATTTATTTCATCAAACAATGTTTTGAATGGCATAGCCAAGTCTGATATTTTTAGAGCATCATAGTCCAGGCTGAACTTTATACAGACACAGAGAAAGAGCACTTTAAAAAAGAAACCATAAATTCTCTGTCTTTCAGTAATATTCCATACTCCTACAGATTTCCAAAGGCTAAATTCAACCTTTGTGAACCAAGATTTTTCATCAATTGAGCCCGGGCACAACTGAAAAGACTAGTCTTTTGTTTAGAGTTAGGAGAGGGGAAGGGAAGAGTGGGATGAAAAGGGAAGGATGAAAGGGAAGGCTCATTCCAATATGGGCGATTTGGGGGGGGGGCTTGCTTCCAGTGTGCAGGGCTAGTCTTTTTGTCATCACAGACCGCTGGGTAATATATTACAGTCTACTCAACAGGAAAGGATATACCAACTGTGGCTATACCAATGCAAGAACTAAGGCAGTGTGCTGCAGTAGTTCCCCAAGAAATTAAGAAAATGGTCAGAAAACTGTAATCTCATGTGGGAATATGAAAAACATCCTGCATCTGAGCTCTCAGGGAGGTCCAGGGAAGATTTACCATCCGGACTGGGACTGGAGTTTGCTGTTCAGATGCCTCTGTATTAAAGCATCTGTTTGGTTTTCCTTACGGCAGGGTTGTGCCTGCAGGCACATGTATTGAGGTGCCTAGCCCTTGAGAGTACCAGCAGAATTTGCTTTCCTAACATCACCTTTGTGTAACTTATTGAAACTAGCTTAGACTATTGGGGTTACAGAAGAGACTGAGAGCTATTTTAAATCCAGCTGTCATTCTGTTAACTTCAGAAGAGTTACTTTTGAGTTTCAGCACTGCAAATGAATCTGGTTTTTTTGTTTGTTTGTTTGTTTTCTTCACACATTTGCGTAAACAAAGATCATGGCATCTCACTTCTGCAGCAGGCTTTTGTATAGTCAAAGCCCTGTAGCTTGGAACAGGCCAGTTCTTCATGGAATCCTATCTTGTCATCCCCAGGGCCTGTTAACTCAGCACATCTGTTCTGCTGTCCCAGAAAATGACAGAAGAATTTGTCTTTTGAAAAGCCCAAAAAAACAATGAGGGAAATGTCTAGGAAGTAGCGATAGTGTACAGTGACAGCTGCCAATGACTTAGTGACTCATTTTGTCTCATTGAGAAGTCTTTTTCTCATTAGTTAGAAGAGATGTATGACATGGTGCCCCTGTTTCTCATTTTCTTTGTGGTTGTGAAAACATCACCAGATTTTAGGAAAACGCAACCTTTCTTGTGACCTTCCTCTGCACCTGATTGCATAAATTAGAAGTGTGACAGACAGAAATGCATGACAGCTTTATTGAGGTGTGATTAATTGTCTTGTGAATTTTTAATTAATTATTCTTCCCTCAGTGAAGAAAGGGAGAGGTGCAGGAATAATTTAATTGAACCTTACCAGTGCCTGGGCAAACACTTGCCTTGATTTCATGACAATATATATTTTCATTTTCCTGTCATTCCAAATAAGGCCTCTTTTGAAATGTGGCATGCTGCTGAGAGTAAGAGAGATAACGGTCTTAGGGCTAGACTAAAGTCAAAGTAAATATTAGAATATGTGAAGATGCTTTAGGAACTGATAGGACTTGGAGGCTTCTTCTTAAAATAATTCAAAATTGCTTTGTTATTATATTTTTGGGTATGGCTATAACAGAGCATGCATCAAATAGTTGTGACTGATTGCCTGTTACTGTTCTTAGTAGCTATGAAGTCATAGCTGCTTGCATTTCTGTTTTGCTGTCACTCTAACAGATTGGAAAAGATTTTGGCCATGAAAAGCTGGATACGCTATGAGCGTATTCCGGGATACCTTTTTCTTCAAGGGAAGTTGAGCACAGCGAACAGACACAGCGGTTTGTGCAGCAGTGACTGGGCTCTGCTTGGGCCTTTTGTGGGCCTTGTTGGAAGTTGAGGAGGCTTTCTGGGGACCCCTGAGGAACTAGACAGTGCTTGCTGCTAGCAGGAAGGGAGAGCTGGGCAAGAGCTCCTGCAGGGGGCCTTGACTTGACTTCTCCTGGGAAGCTCTAGCCAGGTGGGGCTGCTGCTAACGAGCTCTCTGGGCTGCCCTGGTCAGAGGGAGTTGGGGCTTTTGTTTCAGGTGGCTCCTGATTGGGTGGGTCAAGCACCCTTGTGAGTCCCTGCTAGGCAGGGGTCTATATAAGAGCCAGGCCTAGAACACAGCCAACAGAGGCAGCAGTTTGTGTAGAAGGGTGCCAGAAGGCAAAGAAGGTACCTCTCCATTTTCCACAGTGGTGTGTCCTTCCCCAGGCATGGTCATGACATGCTGCAGAGCATGTTCCCCAGTGGCTGCTGGAGTTGCTGCATCAGCTGTGTCTGAGGCTTCAACCCAGACAGACCCTCTGACAGCAGAGGCAGCTCTACAGGTGTCAGGCTGCAGGGAGGGCCTGGGGCCTCTCTGTGAGGCCTGGGCTGACAG